CTCTTGCTCTGTTGATCTTTGAAATTTGCCAGTGATAGAGCACCTCAGCTTGCAATTCATTTTCCTTCCTGAGTATCATCATTCTGAAGCTTCAGTGACAAGAGAAAAAAATAGTCTGTAGAAATTTAGAGATTGCACAATCCCAAGATAGTTAAATAAAAGTCAGCAGAGCTTATTGCTCCTCCCCGTTGCATATATTGTTACTTTGGAATAAAAGTGTTTAGGGATAGACTATGAATTCTCTCCAGTTCTTCTCTGTGTTTTCTTTGTTCCTCAGACAGCCCTGGGAGACATCTCTCCCTCCTGCTTCAGTGCAGGAGAACAGGTGACAGCTGCCCTCACCTGGAATACTTACCAGTGGGTAACTGGACCATAGTTTATTCAGTTAACCCAGTTTTCTGCATTTATATGACACCCTGAACCCTAAACTAACCACAGGGGCTGGGTCAGGGTTGTGCAAACACAGCTGGTGTCAGGAGACAAGCATTGCCACATAGGACTGGTCTTTCCTTCTTTGAAATCTTGCTCTCTACAGCTGTTAGGGAACCAAATCTGGTCCCCTGAAAAGAGTCAGTTCCAAGGAACATTTAAGGAAGGTTAAGGAACATCTTCAATGCCTCATTAGCTTCCGTTGATCAGCTGATATATGTAAAAAAACCAGGAGGAAGGATGGTTAGTCTTGAGAGTCAATGGAGTTCTCCAAAAGGCAATTTAAATAGATTGTCAACAAAGAAATCCTCTCCTTGCGCTTTTATTTGGGGGAAGGAGCTCATGAAGAGCATCTGCAAATGTAGGAGGAAATTTCCCCTCCTTTCTCTGGAGGACTCTGTAGGTTGACTTTGTGTTGCCCAAGTTGGAAGTTCCTTTTCAAGAAGAATACAACATTTCTGAAAAATTGGGCAGGTCCTGGCAACAACTGGCTTGGGTAATCTGACTTTCACCTTGTGTCATCTGTCTGAGACTCCACGGGAGCTTTGTGCACAAGCCCTTAAGTAAGGAGGTTTGCTCAATGGCGTCTGAGTACAACAGGTCTCTTGGTCCCTAGAGAGCAAGGTTTTTACCTGTTGGAAAAGTTCTAAACCTCTGTAGGGCAACAATGCTTCAATTAACCTTTCCTCACCTGCCCTAAACCAAAGTTGTTCTTAGCTGTACTGGAACTGAAGCAATATTTTTTGGTACGCATACAATCTGGTGTGCTTTTTGTCACATAGCGCCTCCCCTCCAGTCCCTGGGCATAGTCTTCCAGACCCGTTCTACTTTTGGGAGTAGGAGAGTCTGATTCTTTCAAACTGAGTTCTCCCCCCCCCCCATATGTACTGTGGAGGAAGTGCACAGTGAAGATTTTTTTATGGGGGGCGGGTGATGCCTGCCTTATATTTGTAAACTAAAAGGTAAGTTCCTTTTGAACATGGTTCAGTGTTTTTGTGGAATAGTGCACAAAAGGAATATATCCAAAGGAGGCCAACTATCAGATTATATTAGCTGATCATTGGGCTTGCTTTGAATGGATCTGCACAAAACACTTGTGCAAAACCAGAGTGAGTTTTGACAGATGGCTAAACTTCCTTCCTTCCTTCCTTCCTTCCTTCCTTCCTTCCTTCCTTCCTTCCTTCC